AGGCAAGAGCCTGGAAGTTTCCCTGTAGGGAAACAGGCTGGGGCCTGTAGGCCCTGTCAGAAGGAAGCTTCCAGGCAAGAGCCTGGAAGTTTCCCTGTAGGGAAACAGGCTGGGGCCTCTAGGCCCTGTCAGAAGGAAGCTTCCAGGTAAGAGCCTGGAAGTTTCCCTATAGGGAAATAGGCTGGGGCCTGTAGGCCCTGTCAGAAGGAAGCTTCCAGGCAAGAGCCTGGAAGTTTCCCTGTAGGGAAACAGGCTGGAGCCTGTAGGTCCTTTCTCGGGCTGTCAGGCTGAACCGTCGGCGGGGCCTGTAAGCCTTGGATATCAGGCTTAAAGCCCGAAATTCTGGTTTTTTGGCCTGAACGACGTCGGACCTGCAAAATTTGCCCGTGTGTGCATGTGCAGCATGTAACACCCCCCCCTCCTTATGAAGTCAAGCCGGGGCGAGGGCGAAGCCGTCGATCTGAAGGTGGAACCTGGACGCGGGCGCGGCGGGGAGCCGAGGAAACCGGCTTGCCTTGCATCTTGCGCTCATAGCGTGCGAGAACGTCTGGAGCTGTCGCTTGAAGTTCCGCACGGGTTAACCAACTGTCAGCTCGGTGGGTGCAGTATGCAAAATGCACCAAATACTCAGTTGGCTTGTTGCCAAAGCGTCGCTGGGAGATGATGTCGCCGACCTCCGGAAAACCATCCATGGAAGGAGGGTCCTGTGTACGTCTCCCGGGAAAATCGTCATGCTCCGCAGGCGTGTAGAGAGCCAATTTGGAGCAATGAARGACTGGGTAGACGGGCAAGTGGCTAGGCACCTGAATCATGAAGGAAGGTCCTTCGGGTGCGTCCCCAGCGGGCTCTATGATCGGCCAAGGTCCCATCCATTTCGGAAGGAGCTTGCGAGAGATGTCTTATTCAAGGCTGAATTCCGTGGCGGAAACCCAGACGAGGTCCCCGGCGCGGAATGGACAAGGGAGACGCTGGCGATTGGCCTGCTGGCTCATGCGCTGCTGTGTCTTAGCCATCTGGTCGCGTGCCTTGACAAGAAGCTCTTGCATCCGACGCAAGAAAAGAAGATGGTCGTCGCTCTCGGTCGTGCGTGGAGTGATAGTGTCCAACGATGACGTGACCAGCGAGCCGTGCTTGAACTCGAAGGGCGATATCCCAATAGCCGGGTGGATGGAAGAGTTGTAGGCCAACTCGACATCCGGCAGTCGCTTAACCCAGTCTTTCTGGTCGGGGCTGAGGGTGGCGAGCTGAACTGGGCTTGAGAGATAAGCCCCATCGTTTGATGAGTGCCAACCAAAAATCGGACATGAACCGAGTGTCGCGGTCACAGACGATCTCCTTAGGGTAACCCTTGGTGCGAATCCAACCGGCGTACAGAACCTCGGCCAACTCCAGTGCCTTGGCATGATAGCTACAAGGCAAAAACATGGCGAACTTGGTGAGTCGGTCGACCACCGTGAGAATCCCATCCACTCCGGTCTTGTGCTTGGGGAACGGGCCGGTAATGTCCATGGCAATCGCTTCCCTTCGCCTCAACGGGACCGGCAATGGTCGTAGCTCGCCGTACGGACGATGGTTGCGGGATTTGCAGCGTCGGCAAACCTCGCAAGACTCGCAATAGTGCGTGACGTCGCTGAGAAGGCCAGGCCACCAAAATCGCTGGCGAAGTCGGCCAATCGTGCGATTGACCCCGAAGTGTCCAGTGGCGGGAGCATCGTGGAACTCGCCAAGAAGTTGTGTACGCAAGTGAGGATCACTTGGTACGCAAAGAAGGTCCTTCCCCCGCGTGTGGACAAGCAAGTATCCCTCCTGGATCCGGTAGTGAGAAGGAGACGGATTAGGCGAGGAACAATTCGCGTACTTGTCGCGAAACTCGGGGTCGGCTTGGTAGCCGCGGATGAAGCTGTTCCGCAGGTCGTCGTCAATCTCGAAAGTTGAGTAGACCGCGGTACAATGATCYGGACGYCGTGAAAGAGCATCCGCAAAASGGTTCGACTTCCCGGGAATGTGATCGGGAAAGAAGTCGAACTGGTCGATGAAAGCCATCCATCGAGCGATGGTGCTGTTGACGGTGTCCTGGGTCTTGTAGAAGACCAACGAATTGTTGTCCGTTACCCAGCGAAATTGGCTTCGACCAAGGAGGAAGTGCCGCCWYCGCTTGAGCGCGTGGACGAAGGCGAGGAGCTCCTTCTTGCGTGCATCGTCGATGGAATGCACGAGGGGCACTTTCTTGCTGAAGTACTCGACCGGGTGCCAGTCCACACCATCATGTTGCTCGAGGACTGCGCCAATGCCATATCCTGACGCATCCGTAGTGACACGCGTAGGTGCGAGTGGGTCGTAGATTCGCAAGACCTCCGCAGACAATAGCGCGGCTTTGAGAGCGAGGAATGATCCCCGCGCCTCCTCTCCAAATTCAAACGGACGATCCTCGCACTGAAGTTTGTTCAAGTGGGCCGCGATCTTGGAGTAGCCTTCGATAAAGCGCTGATAGTAGCCGGTAAGACCAAGGAACGAGCGAACTTCCGTGACGTTCCGAGGCTCCGGCCACTCCTGGACGGCTTGAATCTTGTCTGATAGCGGACTGATGCCCTCCACTGTGACAAAATGGCCCAAGTATTACAGCTCCTGCCGGGCAAATTCACACTTGTCGCGGTTGGTCTTGTACTTGGCGCGGCGGAGCGTCTCCAATACTCGTCGAAGGTGCCCCAAATGATCCTCCAATGACCGACTGTAGACGAGAATATCGTCTAAGTAGACCAGCACGAACCGGTCCAACATTGCACGGAACTCGTTGGTCATCGCCGCCTGGAACGTCGTCGGGGCGTTGGTGAGGCCAAAAGGCATGACCACCCACTCAAAATGCCCGTACCGTGTCTTGAACGCGGTCTTGTAGCGATCGTGTGGCTGGATCGAGATTTGATGATATCCCGATTTCAAGTCCAACTTGGAAAAATACTTCGCGCCGCCCAGTCGCTCGAGAAGATCGTCGATGCGAGGCAGAGGCCCCGCATTCTTGATGGTTTGCGCGTTGAG